AGTATATCAAACATTCCTCAGGCGCTGGTGCAGTGGAGCAGAAAATGTATATACAGTCCTTCTTTCTTCCAAGCCTCCATCTTTAATGATGTCTTTGTCAAGCCCACCAGGCGTGAATTTAATCCACACAGAGCCCCTTCACTCCTGCACCGTCATGTCAAACTCCCTCTCCACTTGCCCCTTAACCTCTGTTCTCTTCCCCTCTAACCCGCCGCTCTGTCATTTCCCGCCTCACATCTCTGTTTACGCTTTCTGTTACTTTGGTCCCCATGACGACCGATCTGGGCCCTCAGACCAATGTCTGGGCTCACAAACATATCTAGAGAGAGAGAGAGAGAGAGAGAGAGAGAGAGAGAGAGAATTCAAAACTTATGGCAACGAAAAATACATCTGTGTGGGGAAAGCGAGTCCAGCTTTAATGATCTTTTAAGACGCACATGGGCCAAGGGAGGGATTCCAAAGCGCTGGAATGAGGATGAGAGAGGCCAGGGGAGATTCGTGCTGCAGATTTCTACGCCTTTTACTCTTCACATCACACCAACAAGAACCGACAGACACACAAAGGGTGAGAAAGAATGAGAAAGGGTCCCGTTTCATTATCATCCACTACCACATGAAAATGAGAGGAGCCTTAAATGAACCTGCTGTGCACAGCAGCATCTGTTTGCAAGAAAGCAACTGAGGCCTCCACCCTGGACCAGACCAACACTGAGATCATTGTTGTTCCACAGCCCTCGCTGGGCTCCGCTGTGGTAGGTCCTCCCTCACATTTTACAGTATTTTTCCTGTTACTTCTGCTCCGTTAGATAATACACAATGGAGTGTCGGCAGATAGGAGAAATAAAGGGGCAATTGAAGGGTAATTACAAAACCCAAAGGTCTTGGACTAACCGCCTTTGGTGATCGGATCACAGGAATCTTAAACATCGGTTAGGACCTCTAAAGTCAGGCTAAGCTGCTTTTAGCAACAGCCTGATGTTTGCGACGGAGCGATATGTGTGCAGACGGCTGAATGGCCATCTCGGTTTTCCAGTGGCGGCTGGTCCATAGAGGGCCGTGGCCCCACCCTGAGCCACCAATAAAAAAGATAGTATTAAAAATACATTTTACAAATAGTCTATGTGTCTATTTGTGTTTTTGAAACATGGAATATACCCAGTAATATTTGTAAATTAAAGATATCTGCGCAAAATATATGCTATATGCACGTCCTCTCCGCATGTCTCAGCTGGCATGCAGAGAGCCATGTATACGCGCAGGGACTGTTTGTAAGTGGGGGCTGGTTGACCGCAGCAATAACTCCGTCACGTCGCCGCGTTAAAGCTGCGACAGACACAGGATGAGGACACACAACCAGGATGTGGATGAAAACATTGTCTAATAGATTTTATCTAAATATATATTATATTGTGATATATTTATACTTAAATCTATTATATTTATTATATGATATTTATATTGGATATTTATAATAGTTATATCATATTTTGAATATTTTTCTATATATTCATTAATATACTCAAACTGTTGGAATAAATGGTAAATATTTGTATGTATCAGATTCATCAGCTTCATCGGCTCATCGTTTCAGCAGCCTGATCACCCAACATCTCCACCAGGTCTTTACTCCAAGGGGGGATTTACCTTGGTGCTGCTCAAGGCAGATATTTATCCAATGATATCCTCCTTATACTGTTTTCCATCAATGAATAAAACACTGAGCATGATTTAAAACCACCATGGCCATCACCAAGTCAAGTGCATCTGCTTGTTGTTAAAAACAACTCATTCCCATCGCGTTTTCCTGGATTCACTTATAATGCTGGAATTATTCCTTTGCTAACCCTCTCGCTGTGCCCCACATCACTGAAAACACGCAAACACACGCAGGCAGCTCATCCTGTTCCCTGAACACTACAGCGGTGTGTGACATTGCTCACACTGGAGCAGATTCCTCGGGTTTTACTATTTATTTGTAGCGGTGATGCTCTGACATGCAGTATATTCATGCTTTTATGACTCAGTAGGGTTGTTGGATTGGGAGTAAATCAGCAAGCTCTTCAAACATTTGTCACGGGCCTTCACGGCGGGACCGATGTCTCTTAAGTCGCAACCCGGGATTCACTAATTCCACATTTACAATGATAAAGAATTTCTCTCTTTCTCCATCTGTCCTCCTCGCTTCTATTCTCCACCCTCATCCTTCTGGTTCTCTGTATTTTGGGTGACATCATCCCTGACATACAGGCATCTACACTTGTGCCCAGAGGCGTAGTTTAGCACTCTCGTTAGGCTCCTTCCCATCCGGGACACATATCTTTAATCACGGCTCAAACGCAAACGTAATACGTTGTTGTAAAAGTATTTCCTCCGGCCCGTTTCAACGCTCATTTGCCCAACTACACATCCAGTCCCACAGGAGCATCACTGGCGCCTGTTGATAGTCACTTCTTGGTCACCAGGGACCCTCTGTGAAAAATACCTTGGAGAGTATCAGACAGACGATCATGATATGTTCCTTTTAATGTGCAAACAATTCGTTTTTGTGGTTTAATCCGTCAGTGCTCTGGATTCCATTAGCTCATTAGTCAGGTTTTGCACACAAAAATGGCAGAACAATAAGAACAATCTGGAGAAGGATTGTGGTGACAGTTGAAATCGAGTGTGTGAACAAACTGTCACGGTTGTAAATGTCTTGGCTGGGGTTTCCCCAGACCTATCAGAGCATTAAATCATCTACCTCCCTCCCCCCCCACAAGAATCTGATCATGGTTCAAATATGCCTTTGTTAAATAGACTGTGACTCACGTCTTGAAGGTTTAAGGTGGGTGTTTCTGCACATTCGAATGCGACTGGCTCCGACCAGCTACGGATGCGCCAACGCGGCGGTTATATCACCTGGTCATGGTGACGAGGAAGTGTTGGATATGTTTGCTGCAGGTTAGCGGTTATCTCTCACACAGCACTGATCAGCAAATAAAAAGGGTTTTATATGCAGCCACATCCAGGCCAAAGGTTTTTTTAATGGCTTCAAAAATACAGCAATATATTCAAAATAAAAAGAGTTTTGTCGTAAGCGTAAATTATCTCGCTGCCAATGACGAATATCATGTATAGAAGGTTTTGATTAATAACTCTCGCGGGCTTAGGCGGTTGTTCAGCATTTTTTCTTAAGTGAAGAACGAATGTTTTCAATTTTTCAAAGACCAAAACTCAAACAGTGTAGATGTTCCCTCTCACACATCTACTCTGACTACTTTAAATAAATGTAGTTTGTACATGTCGTAATGCAGTAGTCTGCTGCTGTGGTACCAAACTGCTGATGATGTACAGTAGTGTAAAGCAGCAGGAATACTGCCAGGGAACAAAGCTCGCACTGTGTGCCAGCAGAAATATCTATCTCTATCTGCTGCTCCGGGGATAAATTGTCCCTCTGTCTTCCATGAATCCCGCGGTGCAGCTTCACAGAATGGAATGATGCAGTACAAGTGGGCACACACATGTCCTGTGTGTGCACGCACTTCAATACTCAATTCAACTTGCTTTCAGCTGCACAAAAATGAGAATTGCTTATCTTTTCCTCACGCACTGCCCGAGTCCTGTCAAATGGACCTTTTATTGCAGCTAAAATGTCGTACCGTGAGAGGCGCGGGGGTCGGCTGGCTGTGGGGGTCAGGGTGAGAGGTCAGAGGTCAGCAAAGTCAGATGAAGCAGCTGATTGTACAGTGGGACAGTAGTCCTGAACATAAGGAATGAGTGAGTCGGCGGCAGCCAGGCAGAAAGGTCAGAGAACAGACGAGCGCTATAAGACAAGCTTTGTGCTATCACTTAAACACACACACACACATTTTACGTCTAACTACCTAATACTTTACACTTGCAATGCTTGGAATTGACAACTCTCTTGTTATTTGGCGCATAAAGACAGCCGCCAATCTGACACATCAAAATGTTCATTTAATTTCTTTTAAGATTTCATGCTTTTGATTTGAAAAACATACCAACATTGCCACCTGCAGGCAGTTGTTCTTCGACACATCCTCGTGGTTTGAATTGCAAGACAGAACAAAAATGGAAAGATGTCATCAGGTAATAATAACAATATAATAATAAATCAGTCCAGTATGGGTGGGTGGATGAGAGAAAACATTGAAAAAATAATTAAATAAATCATTCGATGTTACATTTTTTATTTATTTTTGTTTTCAGAGATGTTCCATGTGCTGTTTCACATTAGCTCCCAACTTGTACCATATGAATAAAGTGTTGCATGATTCCTGTCCAGGACAACTCTGATCCCTCGATTGTTCTCAGGCCATCAGGTGTCCTGGTGTAGACGTATAAAGCTTAAGGTACACAGGACCTACGAATTCCACTGTTTTATTTGTTATTGTGGGCCCAGCAGCCAGACATGTTGACAACCACTCTTAATTATTTCTCTTTTTTCATCGGATAAATTGCTCGTTGGGACGAGTTAAGTAACTCCTTTTTTTTGCAAAACCTCACTGCCAACCGTGTCTGCTGCTCACGATAAGAACCCTGTGAAAGACAATAAGACGGCAGTCAGGTTGAACACAAGAGGGCGCCCTAGACCAGCTACACAACTCAGTACAGCACATTGGCCACGACACAAAATTCAAGAACATCAACAAAAAAATCTCTTGCACACTACACCGGTATGATACCAGTATAGTGTGCAAGAGATTTCGTAGGTATAAAACGACGTCCATCTACTCTTTGGCGTTTTCTTATGAAGCATGCTATAAAAACAAAGCATGTATGCACTGTTAAGATTCAATAATATTCAATAAAGTCAAAAGCATTTTTGGGCTATTTGAATCTTTCACCGGTGGCATGAAAACATTCAAAATGCTGTTGTTTATTTTACTACATTTTGTCAGTAAATCTCGCCGTGCCGATCGTGTTCCTCCGCAAACTTAGGAGGCTTTTACTTTGAAATCAGCTTTCTCAAACGCTCGCGCGGGGCACGCGCGTCCCCCTGGGAGGGACGGGGGGCGCTGGGCTCGCGACCGCCTCGGTCGATTCTGTAGTCCGACTGCGTGGCCGCGGTCCCGCTCTACGACTCCAGAACCTGTGTGTGCGCGTGTGTGTGTGTGTGTGTGTGCGCGCGCGTGTGTGTGCGCGCGGACCTCTATCGAAGGAATGGCCCTGCGATAAAGTGGAATGCGCTCTGCCGGGGACATGAACCATGGTAAGACTCTTGCTTTTTCTTTTTGACTTGTTAACCGTCTTTCTCAGCTGATGAACTGCTGAGGAGGCAGAAGTCCTCGACCTGTGGACGTGAGTTCGGTTCTGACCCCCCCACCTGAAGAAATTCATAATTCCATATGTGAATCAGCTGTGTCTTCTCTCTGTCTTATTGTCTTCACAGCACGGGGGACACCGTGCACTTTAGCTTGTTAGATCCACCAAATGAAATCATTCCATTATTACTCTTAAAAAAAGGTTACAGTCTCAACAATTTAAATGTAAATGTGTGCAAGTGTGGAAATAAAAGTGCTTTTCATGCAGAAAGAAAAGGTATCCCTGAATGAATAAGTGGTATATTACTATTATAGATGTTTAGGACAAGGACAAACTAAGTCATTGAGAGAATAATAGTGATGGATTCAAGTCATCTTAAAAGAAACAAGAGATAGACCACTGCAAGGAATAATCCCCCCACCCCCGTTGGCTTTGTACAAGAAAACAGAAGGTTAATACAATGAAATTATATACAAGTGACAGTATAAATCCCTGTAACCTTGAAAAAAAGCATTGATGGCCAGTGGAAACAGCGTTTTGCTATCTCTTGACTCTCGGGCGTCTCTAAAGAAGTCTGTCTCACGTTTCAAATTGGTTCCATATGCAGAGCGGACAGGCTTCTGCTTGGAACTGCCACCACACGGAAAGCCAGCGCAAACCTCTCTGCCCATTCTTCCCCTACTTCTTTTTGTCTTCTCCTCTTCTTTTTCCTCCTCCTCACGTTTTTCCCCATTCTATAGAAATGTGGATGTTTCTGAGTTACAGTTGCAGTTTCAAAACCAAACAGTGCACAGTATCAGCGCTGACCAGCAGGGGGCGACTCCTGTGATTGTATAGAAGTCTATGAAAAAATAATTTAACTTCTCCCTTATTTATTTATTTATTTCCTCAATAAATACACTGTATTATCCCTTTTTAATACTGAACGTTTTGAATAGAGCCTTATATTCATTTATTTAATGATTTTCCATTTAGTCAAATAGAGCATAAGTCAGAGTATGCTTTAGTATTCAGGGCTTGGCAGGTCACTGCCACATTCCACATACAGTAACTTCTGTTCACTCGTTGCTCAGGAGGCGACTCTAGGCTTCATAACGGCAGTCGGCAAACAATGCAAATAAGTAATAACTGGAAGTGAGAGGAAAATTCGACCTCCCACGAGAAAAAAATACTTGTACCCTGTAACGTATTCTTTCGCAGCAGATATTTGAACGAAAGCACAGTTACAATTAACTAGTGAATAGCACGCGCAATACTCGAGAAGACCTTCAGGTGCTATAATAGTTACTATCAAAACCCTGTCACGAAGTTACAGACTTCCACAGTTAAATTGCCTCCGTTCTCCTCTTCACCGTCATGCTGAGGACAAAACGAGTGATTTCACGTTAAAATGACTTCAATCACTCAATGTGAGTACTGGTCCGAGAGGGACACTATCCATACTGCCATCTGCCACGTGTCTTGCTAACAAGTGTGCTTCTTTTTTGTTTTTGTTGGGGTGTGGGAACATCATTTTAAATGGAGGTTATAACCCACAAGTTACTCCTACTATTAGTACTGCATACTTTATGTTTGTCAGCACATGAGTTGTCAATGGCTTTGGTTATCTTCTGGCCACCACATCTTTTGACCAAATGTCCTCACTCAGGCTGCACCTTCTCCTCTGGAGAATGGAATGTGCAAAGGGGAACATTTTCAAGCACATGTGCACTCCCATTGCAGCCGGTACGAGCTCAAATCCTTTTGTGCCACGCAGTAATTATTTTCAGAACTTAACGTCTTGGCTTCATTCTACACAATAAAGCTTTTTCAAGATGCAATTGGTTTGGCCCTCGGAACAGAAAGAGACGTTTTGTGGCTGCATGCGGTACGTGTTTTATTCTGAGGGAGCTCTGGGAAAATTGAGGGCAGTAAAAAGGGATACGTTTCAAAAATAACAGAGAAACGCCCCTCAAAAGAAACACAAGAGAAGACAAACCGGAGATGAATCACCACATAGTGGTGATGTCCATTGCAATTTTTATAATGAAGGTTGAGTTAGAGAATCCTTAGTTTAATGTTTGCTTTTATTTATCTTCCAGAAAACTCATTTCAGACTTTCTATTTTAACCTCAGTAATCATTTAGATTTTCTTGTTGACTTATTTCCCAAAAATATGAAATCAGTCTTACAAAATAGATGGTTTGTACGAATGTATTTTCTGCTGAATCCCGTAGCTGTCTTACTGGTAGGCTCTCGTATCGTGGTTGTAAATGAATATCTCACCTGTAGTAACATTACTTTAGCAGCAAACAGAGTCAAGCGGCTGCCGGTGGCATCACAGCTTTGAGTTATACGACTCCTTCGCCTTCGCCTTCACGAGCGCTTTGGAGAGCTACTGCGTCCTTCAGGCAGTTAGAGCCTGCTGCACAAACACGGCTGTGCATGAAGAGGACCTGCTCCCAGAGTCATGAGGGGCTCGTTTCAGGCTAACCACTGCATAACTCTTCTTATTACACACTAGGAATCTTATTCTAATGAAATTCTTGTGAAAACTATAATCTATCTCTGCAAATAGATCCCCAAAATGATTGATGTTCAGTAATAAAGTCCATGTAACTTTTGGAATATTTTGATATTCATAATGTAAGCTTTCTAATTCCTGCAGTGATAAGCCACGGCCAACAGTAAAAGAAATACTGTATATCCAACGGAAGAGAAGTAGTTGCATTAGTTCACAGAGTACTTCAAGCTTTGATATTAAATGATCAATTCTTGGAGAGAATATTCTGCCAGCTAGGCACAGAAACCGGTCAGTAATTAGAGAATCTCTCTCCCTCTCTGTGCGTAGGAATGGCTTTCAGTTCGTTAGGAAGTATTCCAGCCTGCGGAGACTGATAATGAATATGGGCTTCAGCACACACTCAATGTTTAGTATTTGAACCTCTGACTTATCAGCCCCACCTCGGTGTGTGCAATTCCTCATAAAAAGCTAAAGCTTTATTGTTGCCAATGTCCACAAACCCTTTCTAATCCGTACCCCTCTATACATGGAATGTGTATTCACATGAAGAGCATGTATCATTCCAATTGTACTGCTCAGTGTAGTGAGCCCCTGTGCTAAAAAAGCAATACAAATTCTGGCTATATTCTCCACAAATTTGAATCACCCGACAGTGTGACTGTGCACCACACTGTTAACCATTAAGATCGCTTATTGTGGTCAACCTCATTGACCTTTTTAATCCCTTCCTTAAAAAATAATGCATTAGAAGACCGGAGATTATTTTTGCCTTGGTGTAACATTTTAGCGGTGTCATCTTTCTGCTGTCTTTACAAGATGGTTTAATATGTCATCAGCCCACATCAGCCAGTTTCCCGCCGGTTATACGGTTCCATGTGAGGAAAGCCTAAACTGGTACATAGTTCCCCCAGTAGTGAAGCTGGTTTCCTCTTTCAGGGCGCAATGAGCCTGATGCTCATTTACAATAATAAACGCACAAACACCGGCCAATTGACAAATATTCAAATTGCAGAACGTGCAAAAGGATGCGTGGAGTGCACACAGAGGAAAGCGTGCACAGACATGCTCTCCACAGCAACACACCAGTTGGCCAGCTGAGATTGTCAGCAGGAGATTGCCAGATTGCCGGCTGTCACACTCGACCTCCCAACTGAGGTGTGATTGCAGACAGGTTACCATACAGGCAGAACACACACACACACACACACACACACATGCAGTCACAAGACAAGAGACGGCAACTGCAACCACCACACAAACAGAGCAAAAAAACGTCCTCCCTGACTGAAGTATTCTGCCTCCAGGGCAGATGTATATTAGATCATATGCTCCAGTAAAGCAGGAGGTCTGTCTGTCTCCTGCACGGCTTCTATACAGCTTTTATTGCTGGAATTTAAGTTAATCTACAGTTCACATTTAACTGATTTGGTGTCAAACAGCTCCTTAGAAGAATATCTGTGTTTGCTGTAAGATGCTCTACTTCATTCATCAGCTACAGTGCCTATAAAACGTTTCCACCGCCCCCCTCTGGATGCTTTCCCCTTTCATTGCTTTTATACATGACATAATGGTCTTTATAATTTGTCTTTTTTGACAGAAATTGGCAAAACAAAGCTTCTTCAATGTCACAGTGAAGAAATATTTTTGAACTGAAGTCAATTAATCCAAAAGTGCAAAATACTGTTTTTGCATAAATATTCACCCAATTAAACAGAGGTCCAGCTAGTTTACGCCAGCAGTGTAACACATAGTGAATAATGGAGATCACCTGAGTGCAGTCGATGTGTGTCAAGTGATACAAAAACACACGTGCCTGGGAGGTCACGAACAAAACACTCGGAGCAGCTAAAAAAAGATCAGTGAAAAGTCAGGAGAATTCTATGGAAAGATCCAGCAAAAGCTCCCCAAGAATGGTTAAAAAATGTTAATCACGCATGGCATGTGACGGCTTGGGACAGTATGTTTCTAAATGCCTCGGTGCAAAATTTACTTTTACATGGAAGGGGAATATTATTATCACATAACATACAAATTGTGTTGAATGATTCACTCAGTATGCATTTGTTAATCAATTCCACCCTGCACCCCCCTGTATTTCTATAATATTAATATAGTCAATGTTACCTGTTAAAGGTGGGAGAACGGGGCAAAGGGCAGGGGGTGCATTCCACTCCTGCTAGTTTAACACCGATGCAGATGGCATCCTAAGGCAGCAGAAAGCATTTACACACTGAGACACGGTGGTTTTGTCCAGTCAGATGGAGCAGTAGACCAGATAGAGGTTTGGGAGACAAAGAGCCACATACCTGCCTCCCTCTCTCCCTCACAATGCAGCACATTAGCAGGAATTCAGCACCGCCCATTAATGGACAGCGACAACTCCTAATCAGCAAAGATGATTATACTCATTAATATAATACTTGGCTTTTCCACTGACTTAGCCA